GCAGACATACCTGTCTGTCTGCCGCTCTGATACCTGTAATCCTCTACCTCAGGGTCTGGAAGTGTGTGTGTGTGTAGGGTATGGTTAGGTCCCACACCCTTTCGGACATTTACCCAATAAACCAACTGCTGTATTCAAATTCGAACCAATCAGACACTTGCTTTGCTGCACGAGCGTTCAGCTGATGTCTATCGTGAGTTGAAAGGAATGCTGCATACTCATCTACCGTGCTCCTCGGCAGTGTGTCAGGGAATACACGGTCGCGTGAAGGCAGATGTGGATGTGTGAGCAATGTGTGACAAGTATTATCTTTGTATTGCCAGTTCTGTACTTACCTCACCCAGGTTTTCTTGTTAACTAGTCGTAAGGTACAGGCACTCTGATAGCTTGTGTTGCTGGACATTTACAGGAAAACGAACCAACAATTACTAGAAATGTCCAATACTGACTTGGTATAGCTAAATACCAGTCAGTACATTCATGCTGTAACAGGCCAGTCACTGAGTTATACTACACCGCTTATGCTTATTGTCGCTACATTGTCTCTGATATGCAGCCGACAGAATGTACCAAACTGGAAAGACTACTTCACGTGTGCCAGATTTAGAAGCCAGCAGCAGCAGCAGCAGAGTTCCACCCTCAGCATGAAAGAACATGAGAAGTAAAGAGGCGTGATGAAAGGCAGATGGTAAGAAACAGAAATGAAGGGAATATTTCTTTAGCAGGTTTAAAAGGAGAGGCGGCAGGAGGGACTTGTGCAGGATATTTCTTATCATAGAATATTAACAGGGATTCTTGCAGGATGACGTTGGGGAAACTACAGAGTTTCAACACAAAGGACTTTCTAAAAGCCAATGACATCAACTGTTATTCTGAAGTTCTTTGGTTTCTTTTCATTTTTTTCCTTCTAAAAAGTAGTAGAGATTAAAGTTAAATGCATAGAACCACCATAGAGTTCAGTACGAACACACAAAAACAATAATAATATATGTGCATATTTATGTGTATGTGTGTTCAGCTTTGATGACTGAGAGGCTTTTCCCTCAAAAGGTGGAATTGGGTTATACAATATAACCACATTATCACTGGATCTGTTCAGGTGTGGAGGCTTTTATTTGTGGACTCTGGCTCCCTCTGTTGGCGGGATAAGTAGGCCTACTATTGGGATGAGTAAAAGGTGTGACCTCACCCGTCCTCATATAACTAACGTCGCTCATTGTGGACATGCTGTCACATACGAGCAGATTCTTTGTGTAGTATTACATTTCTAAAACAATGACTGATGCACTATACTGTATATTAGGACCTCTGCGAGAAACCCTATAAACTGCAATAAGAGAGAGATTTACTCTCTAAAATAATTACGAAAAGGGGGTTCAATGTACTGATTGTATTACAGTATTACAAAGCGACAGCAGTCATATCTCTTTTTAAAGTATATTTTTGATATATTTCCGGAAGAAGTGTGGAAGTTCACTGGGCTGCAACAACTAATCGCTAAAATTCGATTATTAAAAGCGTTGGCAACAGATTTTATTATCGATTCGTTGTCTCACGCGATTATTACGTCACCCAATGAGTTGCAGAGACACCACTGTCTAAAAGATGACACGTGCATACCACGTGAGAGCCCTGAATGTGTGTCAATGGCATTGTGGGTAATCACAGACACCGCTGTGTAAAAGATGACGATAATGACTACATAATGAATGCCACTGTTGCATTGTTTTTCAAATGTCACGTGTTCACAAATGGAATTGTCACGTACGTGGCACACTGAGTTAGCCGGATCATTTTCAAGATGAGATAACGTACATCAGGCTTTTCGGCAGGTTTGGCTAAATCACCATAGCAACACATCAAAAAACTTGAGCTGCTGGAACGTTTGACACATCCTGTCCCACGGAGTGTCTCCCACTGTCTCTCATACTGCCCATGTCTGTACAGTGTTGCGATGCAGAGAACGAAGAAATAATCGACCACCAATTGTGCTTGTGGCATCGTCTTCCTGTGAGAACAGAGTATCTCTGAAAAACAAATGAAAAAGTCTATTTACAAGCTTGGCCCTGTCTTTTAGCCTATTTTTATCCTATTCCGCTTAAGCATTGTGGGAGAAGCATGGTACTCATATAAGAGATGATAATTAAACAAAGCAGCCACACCAAAACTGTGTCTTAACAACAGGTTGGAGAAGCTCAAGAGGTCTATAAAAACAAACCAATATCAACACTTGTATCACACTGACAATCGGTTTTCGGTTCCCAAGAAACTCTCAAGCAGGTTGACTCAGTGGACAGGAGGGCCGGTCATATAAACGCTTATCAACAAGTCCAATGTCACCGGCTATAAAATTCAAGATGTTGTCATCATCGGCATAGCAACCGTCACTTCATGAGGATTGCGCATTAACACTCTCAATGACAATCATCCATAAACTAATATGTTGTATTGTTCACATTCAGACTCCCTGTAATTGCCATTTTAGTAGATCACTGGTATTTATAACTGTGCCTGAGGTTCCCACTCACAGCTCAGACTTGTGACAGATATGAACTGCTCTCAATGATTCTCCCTATACAGCAACACATGTGCAGACGCACAGTCAAATTGGCTACCTGGTGCCATGCTTGTCAGCTTTGGGTATCTCAGTATCACAGTTTGCTGATTCGGCTCCAATGACTTCCCGATCCACATTTTGGCAAAAACGCCATTTGAATTGGGCTGGACCTCTCTGCTCCTTCGGTTGACAGGTCCATTAACCTACTGATGGATTGTGTTGCCCTTAAAAAGAAGTAGGTCATAAGACGTGTTGTTCAGAAGTGTTTACTGTCATGGAGAAGGGACGGGACGGTAAAAACAGCACACATTTTCAGGCGTTCTCTCTCTCTCTCATTGGGTGGCATTTGGTGGTTTCTGTGAAAAGAGACAGAGACTGTCCCACACCATATAACTATACATTTAAGGTTGCAGTTAAAAATCTGAAGACTAATGACGAGAGAGAGAGAGAGAGAGAGAGAGAGCGTTTAAAGATCTGAAAGTTGGTTTGAAGGGGAAAAGCAGTTCTGATGCCCTGTTTAGTGGGCATGAAAGGTTCAAGCACTGGCCGACTGTGGGTGAGTGGGGAGCATGGTCGTCCACCAATCAAAGGGTTGGCGGTTCGATCCCTGGCCCGGCTAACCTGCATGTCCATGTGTCCTTGGGCAAGACACTTAACCCAATATTGCTCCTGTAGCCGCGACTACAGTGTGTGAATGTTAGTTACTGATGGGCAGGTGTCACTGTGTATGGTTCTCCTGTCATCAGTGTGTGAATGGGTGAATGATGTCATGTTGTCACATGTTAAAGCGCTTTGAGTGGTCAGAAGACTAGAAAAGCTTATACAAGTACAGTCCATTTACCATTCAGGGCTCAGAGGCCTGTAAATGAAGCCTTATTGCTCGTTGGACATCTCATCTCATCATGCGACGGTGGCGCATGGAGTACAGCGGGTGCACCGGGAACTGCAAGGTTAGCGGTTTGAACCCTGGCTGCTCCATGTCCCACGTCAAAGTGTCCCAGAGCAAGACACGAAAAAAGCATGTAATGCTTTGGTTAAAAGCGTCAGCTAAATGACATGTAATCTTTAACCACTTAGCCGGGGTAAAAACTCCATTTCATAACAGTGAGTTTTTGATGTCAGTGATTATCACCACCAATGTCTGTAATTATACTATACTAGTATTTGTAGTAATAGTCGTAAGTAGTACTATATGAAGGTGATACAGGTGGTTAATTGCATTGTAAGTATATATGACTCTTCTACCTTTAGATCTGGAACTTAAGGCTTCTCTATACAGATATGGACAGTTTCAAATAACTAGGTGAAGCAATTACTTTGAGTAGTCGGATATGCATGTTGGGACTTGCTTTAATTTCTTTTCAGAATGGAAACACTGCTACAAAACATATATTGAAAGGTAGAAAAAATGACATGAATGAGTTAAATATTTAATAAGAGGTGAGCAGGTCGGAGACAGTAGTCTGACGGAAGTTCGTTGCACTTAAAGTGAAGCTGAGATAAGAGGGTCAGGATGATTACACTGTTTTTGTCATATTTCCCTACAAGCTATCATATTGTAAAAAAGTACGAAGTGGTGCTGTTGTAAAAAAATAAAAAGGATCAGGCGAAAAACGCAATAAACCTTTGCTCTGTGTGCCAACACACCTGGGATGCACGGAAGTACAATTACTGCACTACAAACATGAGTATTTTCATTCCACTCCAGCAGTAATTCAGAGAGACATATTGTACTCTTGACTACACTACTCTAATTAGCCAGCTGTAGTTTCTCAACCAAGATGCTTCATACAAATATACTATGCATTTTCATTCCATCAAAATATCAGTTGACCTTATATCCTAGAAATACATAATTTAGTACAAATGAAAAGGAAAGTGAGGCCAAAGTAAGTTGGGTCTATTTAGAAATGAATTAATTGGAAGTGTACATTTTCTGTATATTGTGTTCAGATTCATCTATAGATACAACACCGTAAAATACAACACAGATAGGACAACTCAGCAGGAGAAATGTTATGTTTTAAATATTTTTTACATTGACTACATTACTTATAGCAAAACCAATAAACCTTCTTTGTATAATACAATAATAATATATTTTCCAGTTAAATAAATCGTACAAATACATGAGGACACCACTGCTGACTACTAGCGCAGAAAAACAGCAAATCGGCTGTAAATCTCAACCAAAAAGAAGTAGGAAAGAAAACGGATGTACTGAAGAAGAAAAAAAAATCTTTACGATCAAGAAGCCTCATATAAGACACAATTATGTCCAAATATTTTAACACGTGGGAGGCAATTCAGAGGCTAAATGATAAGGGATCGTCTCTGTCATACTGCAAAAAGTGTGTGTGTGTGTGTGTGTGTGTGTGTGTGTGTGTGTGTGTGAGGGCTGGACTTTGTCCTCCGCTGCCGCTGAGTGTCCTTGTTTATCACGTGAGGGACACTGTCTAGGTTTTATCTTAGCTGTTGTGTGAAGCCATTGATCCTGAAATCAACCTCACTTAAGCTTACTTTTAAAAATATATATCACCACTATTACTGTTTTTTTATTAAGGAAGAGAGTCCTTGGAGTTGTTGTTTCCATTCGGAGAGGCAGCCATGATCAGCCGTAACTTCAAGAATGTGTTAGTGGTCTCAGTCGGGTTTCTGTCTCTGTTCACGGCTTACGGAGGGCTGCAGAGTTTACAGGTAAGTGGAACAGTTTATTATTATCATAAAAGGAGATTTCTCATAGATTTTTCTTAAAAAAACACCACACTGTAGGGGTTGTGTTCTTAAGTTGAGTCCTGAAGAGACGCCTTCAGTGAATCATTGACCTACAGAACAACTTATTTCAATGCTTTTTTGCAATGACTCATCTTAGAAGGAGAAATAAAGGGTACATGTCCCTTTTATTTGATTATGTTAAAACATGCAAACTGTTTCGCCCTTTAAATGAGATTACGTGCAGCTTAGACAAGCAGAGTTATGTAAACTCATTTGTGTATGCACAATTAACTTGTTGTCACAACGTCTTAGTTTGGTAAACAGCAGACAAACTTCTAATCCCCCCATCCATGAAGAAACGATCTAATCCGCACAGATGTGCTAATCAAATCAGAGGACATCCCCCCTCTGTGTGGCTCATCGTGTTTGAAAACGAGGTGCATTGAAAGGGTCCAAACACAGAGAAGTATCACTTTACTAACAGGAAGATAGGTCACATTAGAAAGTGACTGACACAGTGGAAATGTGCCATCACATCATGTACCGAACTGCCGTTCCCATCGTTCGCGCTGGGCCTCATGCAAGAACCAGGCGTGTACGAAGGAGCCTGGCAGGCTTCTTTAGGACCAGAACAACAAACTGCTCTTGCATGAGGCCCGTCCCTGTTTGTGCAGAGCAGTCTGAATGCAGAGGACGGGATGGGCGTGGCGTCTCTGAGTGTCATCTACGCCTCCATCATCGTCTCCTCCATGTTCCTGCCTCCCATCATGATCAAAAACCTGGGCTGTAAATGGACCATTGTGGCGGGCATGGCCTGCTACGTGTCATACTCTTTCGGAAACCTCTACCCTGGATGGTAATCAATTAGTCAATCCATGAAATGGATCGATTACTGCTCAAACTTTGGGTTTTGAGTTCTCAGCCGTTTTGTCCATTTTATATTCAAATCAGACAAAATTGATAAAAATATGATAAGTATGATAAAGTAAAAGATGAGAAGATATTGACCTACTTCAAGGGATCCCCTTTATCAGCGCAGTGTCACTAAGCGCAGGGCAAGTAAGTGTCCCTTCTCCCTCACGCAGGCCTCTCTTTGTTGTTTGGGTACAGAGCGGTCCTTGTGCAGCTGGAAGAAGGATTCAGATCATTTGTTTTAGTATCCAACTCCTCTTAAGTAAAATCCATTCAAGTATTGTATTGTATATGTAGTATTGTCAGCAAAGTATTAGTATTAAAAGTGAAAGTACTCATTGTGCAGTAAATAGTAGTCAGTGTTTTACTAATATCTATGATGTTTCTGGAGTACTGCTGTTATTTATGTGTATATTGCATCGTACAGCTGTACATGTTTTCAATTATTTTAGTACTGTTGGGTGCTTTAATCTTTAATAAAGCTGTTGTCGTGGCGATATTCGCCTTTGAAATGTAGAGGAGTAGAAGTATGAAGTAGCATTAACATACTCCAGTAAAATTAAAGTACATGTTTAAATATTTCAATCAGCTCTCAAATTAGCAAACCGTTGACAATCAATTAATTGATTAATTGTTTCCGGTAACTTCCTGTACTACTTCCACCATTAGAACTACTAGTCACATATTGCTGCTATTTTTTTTGTTTATTATGCTGTAAAAGTGTCAAGAGAAGCGTTGCAAAATGAGTCCCCTCTCCACCCTCTCAGGTACACCCTCATCCCTACCTCCGTGATCCTGGGTCTGGGTGGCTCTCCCCTGTGGTCGGCTAAGTGCACCTACCTGACCATCTCCGGGAACCTGCAGGGAGCCAAGGAAGGCAAGAAAGGATCCAACGTCATCAACCAATACTTCGGCATCTTCTTTTTTATCTTCCAGTCATCTGCCGTGTGGGGAAACCTCATGTCATCGCTCATCTTTCAACAGGACACCAACATAGGTAGGGCGACCGCTGCAGCGCAATCATGTGGAGGAGATTTTTGTGATCAATGTGTAAAAAATAAACCCAGTACGCATAATAAGTCTTTATATTGTGAGTAATTCCCAACAAAGTGCTGCACTTAACTGCCATTTGGACATGTAGTTAACTTGATTATTGCCATTTTAATCTTCTTTATACTCCCTCTTCACTTAATTTCAAAACAGAATAGAACACTGATTTATTTATATACTATTGGACAACTTACTGCACTACATGAAACAATACCTGGAATGAGTTTTTCATTGTACATTTTCTCTTGAACTTCTGTGTGCCCTATAGGTTATTTTGACATGGTTCATCCATAAATATTGATCACAGAGTGTAATCTGCTTTCTGGTCCATCTTCCATCTTCCAAAATATGGACCAAGAATAACACCTCAAAATAAAGCCCAGTAAAGTAAATGTACTTGTATCCCGTGTCTAGCTGTTACCAACAAACCCATTAGTGGTCTAACTGCTGGATTACAAATTTAAGAGGAAATACCCCGAGGTGTGTGCAAGGCTGTATCTCGTTTTATTGGTGTTGATGCTCTCCAGCTTATCAGTTCATTCCATGACAGGTGTCAAGGATGAGGGGAAGGCAGGACTCAAACGCAGAGTTTCTGAAAAAACAAAAAGACTTTAATAGTCAAAAGGTTCTCAAAAGCAAAAAGGCCAAGGGGCAAAAACAAGGACAGGAACCTGGAACATGACCTTTGGAAGATTAACAATGACGCGACAAGAGACACACATGGTTTAAATACAATAGGGAGGTGCAGGTGATTGGAAACAGCTGGAAACAATCATGACAGACAGACAATCACAGGGACAGGACAAGGCAGGAAGTGACGTGACCCAGGAAGACATGATGCAGAACTACAAAATAAAACAAGACGTGAACCCAAACCGTGACAACAGGTGCATTTCTTGGAAGAAGAACAGAACCTTTCTATCACTATTTCTGTGCTGATTTGGGGCACAATATTTAGTTAAACTATCAACTATTAACTATAACATGTTTTAAATAGTACCCTCGACACCACATTGTCCACACAGGCCTTTTTATAACTCGAGTTTTCTCTCTAAAATGTTCCCTTTATAACAATAATACTCATCAATAACATTTTTGATAATGCAATACCTGCTGAAATACTGGTAGAAATGAGTAGAAACTCATTTCCCCCCATAAAAAATAGAATATTTGATTTGTCTCCTGCGCCTTTTCTCAGTGAAGATTACTCGTTTCAGTGAAATGCGTCTATGTTTGTTTATCTTGACAGCGCTCATCCCGGACGAGCAGCTGCAGACTTGTGGAGCGGCGAACTGCGGCCTCAACATCAGCATCAACGGCACGACCACCAGACCGACTCAGGCGCTGGTGCAGACGCTCGTCGGATGTTACATCGGTAACGGAATCACATGACAAACACTAAACAGGGATGTTCTTCAATAAGAGTCCCTAAACACACCGGCACCGACCGAAACGTTTATTTAAGTCGCACTTTGGTTGGTGCCTCTTTGTTTTCTCACACCTATTTTACTGTATGTTCACACATCTATACAATTCACTCTCAGCCGCCTCCTTAAATACTGCAGTTGACCTCAGAGGGAAACATGTTATAGATATTGAGCCATAGACATATTGTTTGTATAATAACTTTTACAGCAAAATGTTAAAACGATCATCACTACGACACCCTGAGCTCTTCTTTAACGCGCCGATAGTCATCAGAGAGACAAGAATCAGCTCTCGCAAGTTTATTGGACCGCTGTGCCTGGTTAACAGTCCGTGTCGTCTGCCCTCTGTCGCGTGGCAGGAGTGGGTCTGCTGGCCATGCTCATTGTGGCGGTATTTCTGGACAACGTCGACAGGGAGCAGTCCAGCCAGTTCCGTGAGAACCGGGAGCCGTTCTGCCAAACCTTCCTGGCTACGTTCAGACTGCTGAAGGACTGGAGGCTGCTGACCCTCATCCCTCTCACCATGTATAGCGGCTTCGAACAGAGCTTCCTCTCGGGGGAGTACACCAAGGTGAAGAGACCTCAGTGGTAGGCACATGAGGCCCCAGATGTTTGGGAAAGTGTTATTGCAGTCATTCCCCCTTCTGCCGTGAATTTCCTACCAAATTTCTATCAAAACTACCCTGCGCTTTTCTGCTTCAATGTCAAAATATGTTGCCTACATTACCCACAATGCCAGCTGATCCACTGACAGATGTACGAACTGGACATGTATGGGATATGAGGCATTATATGTGACATATTAGATGTATAATGACTGTCTTTGTAAACCCATGACGCGTGTCCTTGCAGAACTATGTAACGTGTGCATTGGGGATCCATTTTGTCGGCTATGTGATGATGTGCTTTGGAGCCAGCAACTCCCTTTGCTCCTTTCTGTTTGGGAGACTCGCTCGGTACACCGGAAGAACTGCGTTGTTCGCCATAGGTAAAAAAAAAAACTGTTTTATATAAGATTATTTTCCAAGGAGAGTATTCACTCTGTTGTCCTCACACACGTCTGGTTACTGAACCGATGAGAAAGACACTGTTGTACTGTGGTGAAAGACTTTGACAACCCAATGAAAACACGTCCTAAATACACAAGGGAAGGTCAATAAACACACAAAGAACAGAAGTAAAATCAACTGGAAACACTGCAATCAAAGGCAAAAGAAAATGACCGCACAGCAGTATCGTCATTAAAAAATACTTATATCACAGTAAAAATTATGCCATAGTGTGTTCGCTGTCAGTCTTTTACTATTAAGTATGATGTTTCTGGATTAATAATGCAGTTTTATTAATGTATCAACTCCTGAATGTACTGCTGACTGTTTAATCTACAGCAGCAATTCCCAAACTCAAGAATGCCAAAACATAATGATTAAATTACCTTAAGAATTTAACCAAAATCAAACATCCGCAAGCAAAAATCCGTCTCGCGCGAGCAAAAGTTCGTCTCCGCGAGGTATTTGCTCGCTTGCGAAACGTGAACTTCGTTGCTCGCGAGGAGAATCTCTGCTCGCGCTCGAAGGAGTTTTCTACGCACTCGCTGTTGTTCTTTTTGACAGTAAGGTGGAGACGGTGCTTTCAGGGTCCGATCGATGTGCGAGGTGCGTCCGCTCCCGCCGCCCCCTCGCCATCCACGCCTTAAATCTTCGGCTGCTTTTAGAATAACTTATTTTCACCGTTAAGATGGTTCAGCTACTGTAGAGAAAAGGGCACCGTCTCTCGCTCTTTAATCTCATCAAGTGCTCGGCAAGAACGACAGCTTTGTTTCTCCCACGCGCCCTGAAACAAGCTCCATATGTCACGCGCTTGAGCGCCGCTCAGCATCTCGCCGTCGTAGACCGAGCTTTGGCATGTTCGGCAGAGCGCCTTGAGCGCCGTGTACAACCAGTATGGATCAACCGATTAACCAATTGATCCATATATATAAGGCGCTCCGGATTATAAAGCACTGTCGTTTTTTGAGAAAATTAAAGCCTTTTAAGTGCGCCTTGGAGTGCGGAAAATGCGGTATATTTACTTTAATACTACAAGAGGGCGCCCCATTTGTTGAACAAGGACAGGCGGACAAGAGCAGCCGAGCGAGAGCCTTATTGTTTTATTAATCTGTCCGTTTAAATTGTTTGTGCTTCATCAACTAATGTTTCACATAACTAATGTGCCGCATCATGAATATTTTTATATTAATTTCAAACTTTTAAAAATTGAAAATGAAAGCTTTTTATTTATTTATTGTAAATGACTTCTCGCGGCCCACCTGCAGTACCTTCGCGGCCCACCAGGGGGTGGCCCACACTTTGGGAATCGCTGATGTACAGCAATGCAATTCATATCATATTCCATAACACCATCATGTGTTTGGAGCATCACTGTTGATTACAGAAGTAAACACATTACATTACATTCCTCCACCGCTCTAATCCATGATTACACAGAGACCAAACCACACTATGTAATGTGTGAGTGAAGTGCTGACGTTTATCCGTCTGTTTTCAGCTGCTCTGGCCAACTTCGCCTGTATCATAGCTCTCCTGTTCTGGAGGCCCCATCCTGATAACCTGGCCGTCTTTTTTGTGTTTCCTGCTCTGTGGGGAATGGCGGACGCCATCTGGCAAACTCAGACCAACGGTAAAAAAAACATTTGTGTCCCTCAATAAGCCCCAACTCCTGTCATGCAAATGGTTGTTTTATCGGGGTGGATCCTTCTGCTTTCTGTCCCGCAGCTCTCTATGGCATCCTCTTCTCACGGGACAAAGAGGCCGCATTCGCCAACTACCGTATGTGGGAGTCACTCGGTTTTGTTATTGCCTTCGCTTACAGCACCTTCATATGTCTGGAGTATAAACTGTACATTCTGCTGGCGGTTCTGCTGCTGACCGCCATCACTTACCCCATAGTGGAGTACCACGAACACAAGCACCCCACTCTGCCCGTGGAGGAGGGGAGCAACCTAACTAGCAAAGCCGTTCAAAGAGACGAGAGCAACATTATTTGCCAGACAAAAATTTAATTTTTAAAATCCTGGTCTGGTTTATAATACTTATGCCTAAATCGTGAAATGAGTAGTATTTCCTCTCAGAGATGTTCTATCCGGATCTGTGCAATCCTCAATCTAACATATTTCCTCTAGCAGCATTTTTCCTATTTTTATAAATAGCACTCCGCTGACGATAAAAAAATGCTTAATCAATGTATCAATAATTTAACTTTTGTGTCAAAATACAACATCATTGATGTTGTGGACAATGATTTTGTCCAACAGACAGTCGCTGCCTCCCGTCACCCCCCGTTTTGTGTTGATATGACTCCTTCTGTTTGTGATTTTAAGGGGACGAGTGTCCAATTTAAGGCCCTCAGAGTTCTCTGCTCTTTGCATATGATGCGGTTCCAAGCTCACTTTCGCTCTTATCAGTTGGACGTCCATCTCATGAGAGCAGTAGTTTCAAGTGGAAAAGGCTCAAGGTAACTACAAAGACCTCATAGCTTTAGTACAATACTTGAGTACATGTACTTGCATTTCACCACTGTAGCATGTGAGGTTTTTGTAATAATGTCTTTACAGTCACAGCATTCAAAATGTCTTACTGTTTTAACAATATTTTTTATATTGTAATAAAAACTAATGCTTGTTGGATTAAGTATCTGGACATTTCTGTGCATTAACCAATTGATTGATTCAGTGCCGTATCAACATCAGGTCAACCAAACCTCCATTTAAATAAAGAAAGAAATAAAGAACATACAAGGCCGCTAAGCTGCATTTCAAATGGTGCTTTTATTGCAATGTGTTGCATTCCCACATTCATAGATGTTATAGATTTGTTAGTCAAAGCATCACTTCATCAAGGTTGGCATCCTCACCTTGGTAAAGAAAAAGCAGATGGGTAAAATGCACAAGGTGATTGTATTTTTGAGTGTAGTAGAGAACGTGTGTTTGTGAATGTTTTTTTATGTATGTCTGTGTGTGTAAACTTGCCACAGCCACGAAACACATGAATGAACAAAACCTCCCAAATTTAGATTTCCAGTAGAAGCAACCAAAAAGAGTGTTTGTTTGTTTGTCCGGCAGCCTCCTGCAAGATTTCACGTTGCACACCTTGCGGGTGGGGAGGGGGGGTTCGGGGGTATTGACAGAGACAGAGAGAGAGAAAAAGAGAAAATATAACATGCATAAAATTCTCCCAGATGAACACAGTCACTCATATAGTCTCGTGATAGCTGCTCCGATGCCTCTTTTAAAACACAAACTTTACATGAGTGTAATATACAAAAATGGACAGAAATGAGTAAAATGTATCATATATATTTATTTATATTAATTTGTACAAGGGAGAAAGTGGAACCTTGGTCATTTCTTCTCAAATTCTCCAGAGAAAGCATTACCCCCCCCCCCCCCCCCAAAAAAAGTGGTGAGTTAATACGTTTCTGATCCTCATCCAACCTCCGTGCAATATTATAATAACTGATGCCGTTCACACAGAGCAGAAAACACTTTTGAACACCTGCAACAGGAATGAGATTTAAGAGCTATACAGCCTTAGCAGGTGCACATGTACCGGTTTGGACCAATGACAAGCGAGGATGCATCTGATCGCTCCTCTCATTGATGGGACACGTTTCACGTGTCACAGTTCTTCTGCACGACTCCCTTCCACATGCGACAAGGCCGACGAGCAACACAGCGGCGTGCGTCCTCACGAGGTCAGTGCACAGCGTTTCATGGACAGCAGAGGTCAAGTCTCACGCAGCCAGACTTTTGCGGACTAAAGAAAGACGTGTCTGCTGGTCCCGTGTTTGCCAGCAGGAATGTTCTGAGAGTTGTCGGTTGACAGCGGGGAGGGGGGGGGGGGGGGGGCGTAACCTGAAGAAGATTGGCATAGTAGATATACTGGTTGGTGTGGACACAGAAAGGCCAGAGACACGTTCCAGAGCAGGTAGAAGGTGTGTAACATTTCTAGTCGTCGATGGGACAGTGGGTTACGAGTTCTTCCTAAAGAACCTGAGCTTCACTTTCGTGGTACATTCAGGGGACTTAACTCCATCTCCAAATACAATACAGATCTGATTGAGACTATTTCTGATGGCCTTTCCACTCCTAAGAAAATCTGATATAAAGTGCAAAATTAGATTGTATTTGCAAATTCCTGGAATAATTTGATTCGTCTACGTGTGTAAAAAAGTCATTTAAAATACAGTAAACTTTAATTTTTTTTATAAAAAAGTGAAAAAAGGTTTTAAAAAAACCCTGGCTAACAAGGTTGTAATTGTTAAACAGCAAAAGAGCAATTTTCACTGCAGAAAATATATACACGAGGCACCTTAAGTTTGGTATAAAGTATTCAGTTAATGGAGAAAAGAAATTCCAAGAATGAGCTTAAAAGCTGAGAGGTCATCAGATCACTAGATTCACCGGACTAACTGAAGGGGCTTCTCCTTAACCGTTTGTGTAAAGGAAATACTTTGCCTATGACATCAATGATTTAGTGTTGCTCCAGTGTTAATTCTACATACCTACGTTGACGTTAGGAAATGCTGTTTGTTCAGTAAGGTGCATAGCGATCGGTTTGCAATGTTTTCTTTTTTTTTTTTTTTTTCTTCCTGTAAACAAATGACAGCACTTCAGGCACAAAAAAAAAGACCTCGTTGGCGTCCCCCAAAAGGGAAACAACTTCCGGCTACTGCAAAGGACAGATTGTGTTTAGGACGTAACGAGCGAGGACAGACAGACTCGGCGAAAGCGAGCGGCAGCAGAACGTCGCGGCGAGGAAGGCGGGAGGAGAGCGCCGACGCTACGTTGTGACTTGTCCAGTGATGATGAGGTTTGCATATGATATCCATCAAACGCCTCCAAGCTTTGGTCATTTACTACTAGGACATATGCAAAAAAAAGTCAATCAGTCAAACTCATATACAACAACGAGGCAATGCTTCTCCGTAAAAACCAAGGCTCCACCCTCCCACCCTGCTTAAACTTTTGAAAAACAGAATTAAATATGGCCTTTTTTTTGTGTCTTTTTCTTTTTTAAATGAACCCGTATATAAAAAGCCAGTCCACGCTGCTTCTCTCTCAGTAAAATCACATTCAGCAGTCGCTAAACCTTCTCTGGCATAGTTATCTGAAAGCCCCACAAGTTCTGTGGGGGGTCTAAAGAGCGAAAAGAAGAAAAGAATCAAACCAGGACATCTCCCCTTTTCCATCTTGGAGAACACCAGATATACAGTATTAATCACTTACACACATACACTCTCACTGATAGTCATATACATACATACATCAGAAAAATAAAAAAGTAGAAAATAAAAACAGAAAATAAGAACATGACTGAGGCGGGTAGTTTTTTTCATTTTTTTTTTTCATCCTTTTTTCTACCACAAACTCGGAGCACTGCTTTTTTGTTGATTTCGAACAAATATTCACATTTCTCTGTTATATACATTATGTTAACATCGTGTGTTATAAAATAACCTTGTACCTTGTTAAGTGTAGTGAGGAAGGAGCGACTGTTTTCCACTCAATGGCTGTTCCAAAAACATAAAGTTAAAAAGATTACATTGGTTGTATTTGGCATGTTTTTAATGAGCTGACAGTTGCGGTTTTCTGAAGTTAGTAAAGTTGTAGAGGAAACAGTTTTCATAGGAATGCCTATTCCACGCAGAAAAGAAAGGAAGGAGGAAAGCGGGAGGGTCATCAATACTGAATGTGGGAAATCATCAGAACGGATAAGCAAGAGGCAGAAACTGGCAATGAACCCCCACCCAAAAAATACGAATTCTTCCATTTTATGCAGCTTCCATCTCTTTTGAGTATTTCACCCAGCGGCCGAGCCGTGGCACCGGAGTGTCCGACCGCTGAATTCACACTGTGAGAACCACCGTCAGTTAAAAACCCAAGTGGCCAGTTGCTCAGGAAGCTCGTCACTGACTTGGATTGAGAGCTTCCTCCTTCATCATCAGCACTGCCTGGGAAAGAAATGCACACGCAGGCCTTTAACAGCTGCAGTCTCTACATTTTAGCTTGGAACCATAAAGAACTCAAGGCTTTCTTTCCTTATAATGACTTTTATTAAGGAGGAGGATTCAGTTCACTGTGGAAGTACTCTACTCTGGGAAACCAACAACACAAGGGTAGAAATGCAAAGTCTCAGTTGGAGGTAGAGAGGGGGACAGGGGTTTAATCTGAGACATCTCACATTAGCTTGTGCGGAGGTAAAATATGACAGTCCTGAATCTTAAAAATGATCCGGTGATGGTCATTTCTTGAGGGTCAAAAATTTCAAATTTTCTTCTTTGCTAATAAATACGTAGTTCTTAAAATGTATGAAGAAATTAGCGTCCACTAGTTACAGCAATTTGGTGCTTTTCTGTGGTTCATATACCTCAAATTGAATGTCAAAATAAACGCTGTGATGAAACACACATAAAAAAAATACTGACAGATTCATCTCCCCTAAACCTCCCAATGTATATTTTTTTGTTTGTATATTTTGAACGTAAGTGCTTGATAGGCATCCCTGTTGAATCAAAGCAGGTGGAGCAGAAATGGGACTTTTCTGATCGAAGGAGGCACTCACAGTGTGAGAACATGGTCAAAAGGAAAGACATTCAGACATAACTCCTGCCTGACGGAATAATGAGGTAATAAAAAGGTGCTCGAATGGTGGTTTCTAATAAATACACACACAGAAAACTAGAATCTCAGAAAAGACTTTCCTGCGTTTAGGACTTCTCTAATAACAAAGAGTAGACCTGGCAGATTTGACAGAAGACGACCTTTGTGGTCGTTACGAATCCCCAAATGTTCCCTGATGAAAATACTCCAGCGCCACTTCCGTCCTCTTCATCCATACTTTGGGTACAGCGTGCCAGATGTTTGCTTTTGCATGATATTCAGATCAGTTGTTTCTTGACATTAATGTAGTCACGTTACGAGTGTTTAGAGGCAACGTCACAGCAGGTTTTCTCAATCCTTATTCCTAACTTCCATGTGTGCTGTGAGGTCTGCAGAGGTCCATTATCGCTGAGAGGAACAGTGTCTGACTGAGCAACAGTAGTGGACAGAAAACTGCACGTGTGTTTAGCCGGTGGAGAGAAGACTTCATCAGGGAAGGGGGGAGGGAGAGGATGGGTGGAATCCTCCCCCATAAAACAAATCATAAAACACTGATTCAACAGGAATGCAGGAAAGATTGAAAAAAAAGAAAAAAGAAAACCTTGCGACACAACCCGTCCTGCTTTTTCAAATGAATCCTCCATCACAGCTTTGTTAGGAACTTCTATTCCTAAAGCCTCTACGTAAATGTCATTATATAGCAACAACATCCAAAAAGTGCGTCATTAGGTTTTACTGTGACGACAGGTCCGATGGTGGTTGCGGGCTCGGTACCATTGGTGTCACCGGAGGACTCGTCGTCACAGCAAAGAACACTCCTTGACGTATCGTTAATGCTTTTCTTGTTTGTTTCTTTTAATACAATGGTTACAACACAACTTCTCGAAAAGTACTTGTACATACATGGGAATAAAAAGAAAGAAAGAAGACGGCTAAATAGCTCCCTGGATGCCACGAGAGAAAGCAAAGCGATCAAGCATGTTTCTTTTTCTCCTTGCCTTGCGAGAGCGGCGCAGCATCTTGTGGCGCAGCGTCTTGTGGCGCGGCATCTCGTAGCGCGGAGTGAGAGGCCCACAGGAGCAGCGCAGTTCCAAGCTACATTTCATAATCAAATCGCTTTAAAATATTTCACATTTTGGATGATGGAATTACTTTCTCATCTACCCGCAACATGAGGCGGTATTACAATATCATGGTGCCAAAAATAAATCTCCCACGAACTGATATTAGGATAAAAAAAAAAAAGTCCTGCTGTTAGTTAATTTTTTTCTTTTTAAAAGGGAAAGCAGTGACATGAAAAATCTTTGTCCTTCTGTACTGTACAATACCACCCGTCTGCATGGTGCACATGCCATGGCAAACAACACTGATAGGCTGAGAGATAGTATATATATGAGAGAGAGAGAGAGAGAGAAGAGAGAAGAGAGGAGAGAGAGAGAGAGAGAGAGAGAGAGAGAGAGAGAGCCCGACAGGGCTCTGTATTCACAGCTGCTGAGGTGAGGGGTAAAATGTGATGGACAGACATTAAATAATTATAACAGTCGCATTTTCTTATACTTAAAAAAAAATAAAATAAAAAAAAACTCCCAGGGGGGAGGGAGAAAGACATGTAAGTTCCAAACTGAGCAGCATCCCGTCTGTCTTCCATCCATCCATCCAATCTTGCTGTTGTCAAAGCTTATTCTGATTTAGAAGAAAAAGTTGATGATGATGGTGGTGAGAGCAGAATATTTAAAACAAAACAACAAAAAAAAGACATTGATAGAATACGTAGAAGAAGCGGAGCTTGGAAAAACTCAAACTTCCACCAGGCACCGCAACTGATGGATAGAGACAGTCACAGAACCAGCTGATACTGAGCTCCTATCCCACAATGCCACAGAGGTCTGAAACCTTAACATTCCCACATCGCTGAGAGACCGCTAGAGGAAAACAACAAGACAAACAAACAAAAAAAACAAAAAAAAACAAACAACAGAGGTGCTGCTGTGTGGGATACCCGCACACATAAAATGATGAGCTCAGCTGTACGCTGCAACTCGTGCTCCCAAGATGCACTGCTGCGGCCACAACGACGGCCCGACAGAAACTGTCCCATCAGAAAAGAAAGAGGAGGCCGGCCCTGATTTGACAGTGACGACAACTTGGCAAATCTACAATGACGTCGCAGTTGTTTTCTTGGGTCAGGAAGCAGGAAGTAGGTCACCAAGGAATGAGCAGCAAGACAACACTGCCTTTAAATAGGCTGAGGCAGACAGACAGGTCGTCAGACAGATTAGACAGGCAGTTTAAATACACTGCTGCTCCTTCTGACTCTGAGTCTTTTCTTTAAGTACTGGGCGGTTAAAACAACGAACCCCGAATCCCCTGCGCGCCCGCCTGTGAAACCCCACAAGAGCCGGACCGCCCGGCACCCTGCTCGCGTGGTCGTCCAAAACATCTATCCAACCGTCCAAATAAAGTGAGACAGAAACGGCAACGCCTTCTGGTGCACCGGCCTCTGAGGAGGAGGCGTCGTCGAAGTGAGAAGTAGAGGGAGCACAGGAGAGCAGAGGGCGTCGCGGGCTCGTCACTCGGTAAGCAGCTGCTGCAGCAGGCTCTTCTGCTGAGCCTGGTTGTTCTGGGAGACCTGCGGCACGACGGGGGTCCTCTGGGAGGCTGCGGCGGCGATGGAGCCCGGGTTCAGGTAGGAGTCACCGCCGACCAGGTTCACCGTGCACTGGACGTCGGCGAACACCTGCAGCGGCTGCACCTACAGAAACAGAACCACCAATTACAAGAGGCGTCTTCATACGTTCCAGAAGTTTCGATTGATTGATTCGATTGATCCATACCAAAACCAAACGATAACACTTATATACACTTGAGTAGTTGCGATGCCGACCGAGGTGTCTGTACTGAAATGTAGTTCTTTATTTATTTATATAATGCCATAAGGTTTTCTTTCCTTTGATTTAGAACAAACTAGCAAAACCAGAGTGATGACAGGGCATATGTATATAATAAAACAAACCTTTTAATTTTAAATTAAAACTTCAGGAAGACGTGCCACAAAGCCAAATGGTTAGATGGGTGGCTGTCTCGAATTTTCCTCCATCGACACTGTCCGGTTCTGGAGCCCCACTCACCTGCTGGTCGCTGCACACCGAACCGGCGTTGCTGAGGTTACTGTTGCTCGGGTCAACCACCTGCCCCATGGGAGATAATGAGCCGACGCCCCCCGAGCCTCCGGCCATGGAGACGGTGATGCTCATGTTTTTGTAAACCCCCTGCTGGCCAAAAGCCTGCCCTGCACTCTGTCCCGACTGACTGAACAGGCTGCGGGGCGCGGCGAGAGAAGACAGCTCGTTACACCGAGAACACGAGCGAGGGCCTCGTACTGATTTATCGACGCAATAAACAGGGGGATCTGATTGCAGCTGTGTAAACTTTCTGACCTGTTGCCTCCCATGCCGGTCTGTTGCCAGCTCTTCATTTCTGTTGACTGGTAGCCAGGGGGTGGGGCTTGTTGAAGCAAAGCACCCTGGGAGGCGGAGGTTTGAGGTGACAACAATGGGCTCGTGGGGCTCATCTCAGGAGGGAAGGATGGGTCCTGCTGGGAGTTTGCTTTGAAAGTGGAAAAGCAAAAAAAAAAGCTTGAGTTCAACATTCAATCTTGTATCTATTTCGAAAAATAAATATGAAGACACACTTGGCAACTTTGTCCTATTTGAATTATTGCCTTTATCTTTTGCCCGAGCTTTGGTTTCACAGTCCACCTCTGTTGTACATGGACTCAACCCATAAACACAGCGCTTAAATCTTTTAGGCACGGCCAATAATAAAACATCCGTTAGTAGACTTTATGGATCAGGAATTTGCGATACCTTTCTAGTACTACTACTACTCTTGTTCAAATGCAGCAGATGATCATTCTGGTCCTACAAAAAACGTGTTTCCTTGAACACACCTGGACCTCCAAACTGCTGAAACAGGCCCTGCGGCAAGGCGGAGTTTACGGCGGTGCTGAACTGGCCCTGCACTCCGCCGATCAGCGGCGGGCTGTTCAGAGGAGCTCTTCCGGGCAGCTTGTTGTCCAGAGGGCCCCCGGTAAGGGAGCTGAAGTGACTAGGTGAGGTAGGGGATTTAGCCACCAAAGGGTACCCTGGTGGGAAGTTGAACTGCTGTTGCAGCTGAGGCGTCGACGGCGGAGCTTTTGGGAGCCCGGCTGCTCCGGTGGGCCCCGCGGCGCCGGCGGTGTTCTGTCTCATCAGAAGGACCTTCTGCTGGAAAAGCTGTCGCTGACGGTGCTGGATGCTGTAGAGCTCCCTCTGACGCTGGGCCAGCATCTGGGCGTTCAGCGGAGGCTACGGAGACACGTTGTGCAGCAGGGGACATTACCATCTTATCTTCACTGAGTCAGAATAACCACACACATTGCATACGTAAAGAGAACAGATGTTTGGTGGTCTTTCCGGCTCTGTGACAACTGTGAGCTGTGTGTGTTCAGGTTTAGCACGGGGGCCCACCTGTGAGGGCATATGAGGCTGTTTAACTCCCTGACGGAGCCCCATGTTCACCTGCTGGGCGCCTCCAGGAAACGGATTAACGCCCGCCATCCTGTTCTGGAGCGGAGACAGAAAAATAAGCAGCGGTCAGAAAGGTGTCAAAGAGGATGAGCAGGGAGGGGATGATGAGAACAGAGGGAAGTACAAGGAGACCGAAGGAAAGATGACGGCGAGGAGAGGGTGTTGAATATTAGGGATGATAAAGGAAAATGAAGAGGGGGTATTTGTATAAGAGCATTTCAATTGATATTTAGAAAATGAACTCAGAGAGCTTTTGTGATGCAATATCATATAAGTCGATTAGTTGTGCAATTCTTTACATTTCAGCTTTTGTAATTCAATGCTACGGGTAATTGACTTGTAATCCACCAATTGAAATTTACTCTGTTGATTCCAATTTGGGTTTTTAAACATAATATTTCAATTTTCAATGTAAATCATCAAAATGGCACTTATTTAAATAGAAATTAAACTATTCAATTATTAAACAATTTATTGATCGGTCATCAGGTGAAAAAACATCAGTCCATAAATCGATGCATACTGATTATCATATCATTATCATTATCATACTGAATCTCTAATAATGAGCAATGTGCATGTAGCATATGAAAGCAAACTGTGAAACATGTTGCAAATGAATCATCAGGGGCAACCTCTCCTCGCCCCAGATGGAGTTGTATTGACAAAGCGCCCCCTCCTCGTCCTCACCTCCTGTGGGCCCTGCAGCCTCTGCTGCAGCTGCCGGCGCAGTTGGTTGGGCGGCAGTCTGAGCTGGGTGCCGATCCCTTGCGGTCGCGGCGTGCCCAGCCTCAGCCCGACGCCCGTCGTCCCGCCGGGGAAAGACCCACGGGGGGCTCCGAACCCAAGACCCTGTTGCCCCACCAGCATGGCCAGCTCTGGAGGGAACTGAGCTGCTGTAAATTTGGAGGGGTACGGGGGGAGTTTAGGGTCCATGGAGCTTGGGGTGGCAACGGATTGCTGGTTTGGGGAGTTTTGGGGCAATGGGTCAAAAGAGCCACCCTGGGAAAGATGCGGATAAAAATATGGTTATTAATGATTTGTATAGTTTATGAAAATGACAACACAAAGATTTTTGCTATTCACGAATCCTGAATTATTGATCTGTGAAATTTTTGTTGCTTTATCTCTCATCTCTATGGTTTTCATTGATGGTGTCCGTTAAAAACAGCACACACACTGAACTGAGAGCCAAACTGGAGTAAAGCGTGCAAAAACACTTCCTGTTTTACTTGAAAATGGTCCAACCGGGGTTTGGGCTACATCTTTAAGCACACACTTGCCTGCACCAGCTTGTCGATCCCCAGGGCCTTATCCAGCTCCGCCAGTTCACTCTCATCCGTCCCACTGAGGAAGGAGACGAGCTGCTCTAACAGAGCCTTCTCGTCGCTCCGCCCCTCGGGTGTAGTCGGAGGGCCCAACACTTCGTCCAGCGTACAGGGCACACACTGCCTGCTCACACAGACAAACATCGCACATATCACTGTGTGTCAACGGTTTTCTTTCTTTTTAAACGCCTTTGGAGGAGACTACGGCTGATCAAAGCCTCCTTAATGAGGTTGACGTTCATATTCTAACTCAACATTTGAAATGGTATCAAGCTTTTTCTTGTTAGTTGGAATTGATTTAGGCTATTACAGTAGTCTAATTATTACTGCACTTACAGGTTCAGGGGCGGCGGTTCAAAGGGTGTCACAGCAGCGCTCAAAAAAAGTCATTAAGAACATATAGAAACAATTATTTTTTTTTTAAACACAGCGGTCATCTAAGAGAAGCGTAAAATAAATAAGAAGACAACCCTGCAAAGCGTTGCTTTATTTGAAAACCCGAACAGAAGCTTTAATGGTTAAAAGAACCATTAAACAACCCTGTAAATGACACAGAACTGGGTGTTGAGGGTACAGTGTTACTCACTCTTGTGGTGATGCCAAGGTGGCTGCTAACGCCGTCTCGAGACCATCAAAAGACAAGGTGTCAGACAGAGACAGAGGCTGGAACTGAGAGTCTCCCACATTCATCTTGGGTAGGCCTGAATGAGATATTAACAGTTTTATTGTAAATAACATCCAAGAAAAAAAAATAGATTCAATAAATATATTTCAATGAATTTACAGTATTTAGCTACATTTTAAAAGGAATTTCACATCAACTTGTAATCCAGCTTGTTATGTATTTATTCATTTTGCATTGCTTCAATAGCGTAGCATTTTGCTGCCGTTATCCCACATGCGTGGTCATATACTGTATGTAACAAAATACAGTCCGAACACACCCAACGGTCGTACTTCGTGGGGTCATTTATGTAAGAGCAATGAAACCTAGATGGAAATCAGCTCAACAGTGCTTAACTGCGACTGAAAATTTATTGTCAAGTTTCTACCTGACAGGGTTTCCCGCAGTCGTCACATGACTAACTGAGACTGTTTATCTTTTCTTGCATACCAGTGCTTGAACTGAAAGGGTTGATATCTTCGGCCTCTGGGAAGAGGCTGCTGTCTATGGGCGTCTGGAAGGGGTCTCCCTGTGCCAGGATCCATTTCTGGCTTGGAGTGGGGGGACTGCAGAAATCAAAGGATGACGCACTGTGGAGGTTGCAGCTGGAGGGCGGGCCGCCATCACTGAGTCCTGGGAAACATACACATGCACATAGAACTGCCAAGATCAATTAAAAAAATACAATGGTTCACAAACCTTTTTTGTTCAACATAAATGTACAGACTTCAACTATTCTGGTATAGTATGCATGGTCTGTTGACATCGGTGGGGCCTCCAACAGCCACTAGGGGGCACACAAACTACCAAAAATGTGTAGGTAAATAAAGGAATGAAAAGAAAAAAATGAAGTTTGCTATGCAACTGTACTTGATAGTAATACAACTAAGGATAACAGCAAGCTTTTCTAGGCCTGCGTCGAAAGCGACGCAAGCCTAGAAAAATGGGTCACCACACGCAAGGAGGTGTGAAAAGGCACGCAAGGGACACGCAAGGGGGTATTGCGTCTGCGTCGCTCTGAAAACGCAGAAGCATTAACTAGGCTTTATTCCTTAAAATGTAAGTAATATAAAAAAATTAAAATCATTCTTATGCTTGGCGTTAATAGTAACATCGTCCATAGGCTGTATGTAGGTAGTTTATTATTATTCCCTCATCTGCATAAACACCCCCTGCTCTTCCTGCCAAGTTGAAACTTTACCTCTGTTAGGAGTGCCAGGAGGCTCTCTCTTCACGTTTACATTGCGGGGAGTGCTGGCCTCGCCCAGCTGGAGCCGAGTGGGGGACTGCAGTTTGAGCTGGGGAGAAGGGGAGTGGAGCTGGGGCGACGGCGATTGCAACTGTGAAATGGACTGGGGTTGGGACAGAGGGGATTGGAGCGGAGGCAGGGGGGACTGAAGCGGAGCTGGGGGCTGAGAGGCTGGAGATTGGAGTTGGGGGCCTTCTCCAGGGGTTGTTGAATCCTCACTGCTCTGTTTGGCCCCACTCGGGCCTCTCAGGCCAGGGAGCAGCTGGGTGAGAGGGTCCATGTCAACAGGGCCAGCGGACATCTGAGGGGACCAGAAACAGATGACAAGGGATAGCGATGAGGTGAAAGACAGGACGGTAGAATGAATAGCGTGAAAGAATAATGTGCGGCAGAAAGATCAGTGACAGAGAGATGGGCCGAGACAAAAGGTCACAGGCCAGCAAGCTTCAAAAGGCCGCAGCTGGTAGCTGAGCGGACAGTTGAGACAAGGTCCAAGAAAATAAACATTTAACTTGATTTACAACGGCTGAAGGCAACCACAGGAGCAAAGCTCAATGCAAGGGAACCTCAACAGTAAGCATTCTGTCTATGAGTGCCTTTTTAAATGGCTACCGGAACGCCTAGTTAAATCATTAGGTCGTTGGAGTTGGGATTTGGGTGTCATGGCAGTGTAACAAAGTGTAACAGCGCAGTCAATCTGGTTGCTCGATTCAAGTCTGCTGAATGCGTGTTCCACATGTCACAGGGGGAGTGTTTGTCATTGTTGGTGCGACTCCCCCGCTGCTAATGACTTATTGACTGATCACAGACAGCAACAACGACTGTACCGTGGAGTCTCTGCTGTCGCTGCGGCTTTCTCGCCGGTTCTCTCCGACTGGGCTAGATTTGGGGCTGGTGCACGCTGAGCTGCTGCTCCCTCCCGCGGGTTTGGATGCACCTCCTGCTGCAACGGTAGACCCGGTGCAGACCACTCCGTCCATGCTTGCTCTCTTCTCCACTTTCACCCTCACTGTCTGCAGGCTGAGAGCTGATGGAGGCGGCAGGTCCCCCAAGTCCTTTGAAAACACATTGCTTTTTCCGTTAGTTAATCAGGGCATCGTGATAAGGACCACTAATATGGGACGTACTAGGCTGATACCAATTCTTATTTTTAGACTGAAAATATCTCTAAATACCTACAAATGAAATAAAAAACAAGGGTCACCTTTTCATCTGTGTCTAGGAGAAAACGGAGTAGTTGATGGTCCTGTGGCTCTCTGGAGCTGGACTTGGGAGGTGCTGAGGTCAGAGCCGAACTGGCAGGCGGCTCCCTCTTGATCTTTTTGTTTCGTGTATCCTCCGTGGTGGCGGAGGCGTCGTCGGGACTGGTGTCCTGGAGCAGTCGGTGCAGGATCTTATGCCGCTCTGTCAGTGTACTGTGAGAGGCAGGGCACTGAGGGGCAGGATGAGGGTTCGGGGGATGAGGTGATGAGGTGCAATGGATTCTGCTGTTGTTGTTAGTTTCAGCTCCAGGCCCATTGCTTTCCAGGAGCAGATTGAGTCTGGGGTTACCCAGCTGGGAGGCCGAAGGAAGAGGTGCTTTAACAGAGTCCGCTCCCCCTCCTTCTCCTCCCTGTGTCATCTGAGTAGATGGGCCAGTGGACACACTGACTTGTCTCTGAAGGACCGGATAGGACATCGAGAACGACCCACCGCCGATGCCGCTACTGCTACTACTACTATCCCCACCAGATTGCTGCCTGCTGAGGCACCCTCCACTACTTAGTTCCATGGCTGGGGAGTGGAGACCTGGTGTGGAAGCAGAGAAGGGGTTTCCCGGTACGTGAGGGCTTCCACCTGAACCGGGACCGGCTCGTGGCATCTTGGGTGACATAAAAGAGGTAGGAGTCGGTGCGAGTGGGCTGCTCAAAACAGAGGGGCTGTTGAGTTCCTGGGGAAAGGTCCGATTGGGCGTCAGGTAGCCCGCAGGTGTGGCTGGATTGTGTCTGTGGGGGGAGGTGTTGGTATTGTTAGGGTGAAGGCCCGAGGTGGAGAGGCCTGAGCCCTGGGTCCAGTTGCTGCCGGGAGGAAGGGAAAGGGAGCGGGAGGGAGTTTGGGTAAGGCTGCCAAGGGTGGGTGGAAGGCCGGGGTTAGTGTTTTCCTGAGAGCTAGCAGTGTTGTGTTCCCTGCAAGCAAACACAAGATTACTGTGACTGTGTGGCAGAGGGAAAAGTGCGACACGGATCTTCTACGAAAGGGATCGTACCTGTCAATAGTGTGAATGCCCATAATGAAGGGCTGAACATCAGGGTTAGGGGGGCAGCAGAACTTGCACCGGGTCTGAGCGCTAAGCGCGGTGCCATCGCTTAACGTGAAGCGGTACAACGGGCTGATGGCGGTGCCGTGGGTCATCACTGATGGGGATACCGGCACATGCACACACAGAACATGAGACAGAGGCAGACAGGGTTTAGACTTTGGCATCCATTTATCATTGGTTTCCTTCTTTCTTTTCCAGTTAACTCTGGTTTGGATTACTGACACAATGTAAACATGTAAAAGCTGCAACTAACCCTAACCCTAAAGCAGCAGATTCGGATAATGTTGCATGAAGGTAATTGATGGTTTAGAAGTACGGTGGCAACTTATTACAGGGATTGTGGTTACAGTGACAAACAGCTTGATAATTTCATAGGGAATCACAAGAATACTGAAAATAACTAGTTTGCTTATAATGATATTTTTTTTTATATATACACACACAACAACATACGGGAAAACTTTTTAAAATCGACAGGCAGCTGAAGGTGCTTTTTTTCTTGTCTCAATATGAAACTAATATGCATTGTGAAAGAATCTGCTGTTGACGTGAATCAATAATGCCAGGTCCCCCAAAATAAACTCTGCCGATTCTCAGCTGGGTTCATGCCACTGCAGCACAGGCAGATGAACGCTTATCTGAGTGCACAGCTCGCGCTGTAGTGATGCAAAGCCGCCCCAAAACTCAGCCAATGCGAGCCCTTAGTGAGGCAAAAGGCAGACAGATTGCCAGCGTGCTAGCAGGTAGTGAAGCCGTTTTTTCACAACTTTGGATTTATGTAAAACAAGTCCAAATGTTAGTTAAGGCAACAACAAACATCTGCTTTATGTGGTCATGTGGACAAGGACCCATGTGAACAATACAAGGAGTTTCCAGTGTAGTTGCTGACACACTGGGGACCGTAGCGAAGTTGGGAGTGATTCTGTCAATGATTTCCAGGAGTGATGCTGAACAATCGATCGTGGCTACTCACCCTCGTGCAGCAGCTTCTTGGCGTGGGAGGGCTCTTTGCCCTGAGTCTGAAAGAAAGCGTAGATGCACTTCCTGACAAGGTCCTCCCAGCCAGGCCGTCCTGTCGCTCGCAAAGCACTTGTTTCTATGGAGATGATCTTCCCTGGAGGAGAGCACCACACACCCGGTCAGTCTATACTGTTTATACACACATTTCCACATCTGCAGTAGCCTGGGACGAGAAGAGGTAGACGCTGTGTTTACATCAATGTAATGGTGCTCATAACAGTCAAAAGGTACGAACAGTTACTCCCAGATGTAGAACTCTTAATGTGAAGATGTAGGCTACATTAAGCTATGTTATCAACCCGAAGGACTTTTTTGTTGTTGCAGTTTGCATCCTTTCTGATGCAAAAGTTCAAAGAAGTACTCCAGCTTTGTTTTGTAATGATTTCTGGTTTAGCAAAAGGGGTCAACTACACAGCACAACTATGGTTCTTTGTGGACCCAGTTTTGTATAATGACAATGAATTGTCCTCGGATCCTTACCTGTGGGGTCCTGCTTTGTGATGAACGACTCTGTGCTGAAAGGCTGGGCGCGTGGTATCCGACAGGCAATACAGATCAGGCAGCTCTGCAGGTCTGAGGAAAGAAAGGACACAGACGAAATAGAGAGAAACCAACAGATGAAAAGCAGTAATATGGATAAGTACCTCATAACAATCCTCACTTCAAAATACCTTACCTATCCCTATAGGTGAACCATGCATGATAACACATGATAAAAACTTGCCTCAATTCTAATACGAATTTCTCCAAAATATCAAATGTATATTCCTCTCAGAACTTGTCAAAACTCAAAGACCTGATCTGATCATTTTGGATGACCTGCATAGATGAGAATGAGAGCCAATCAAGCTTGGCATTGTGTCATTCCAACAACGGATGTTGGGATTTAACATCCACACAAGAACAGAAGGACGCAGAGTTCTACAATACACAAGGGCCAGGCAGTAACAAAATAAAAATAAGCAGACAGAGCTCAACGGCAAAGTAAATTTGCAATGCAGGAACCACATTGTACTTTTCACCAAGGCCATCACAACAACCCCCCCTCCAAAAATACTGAATGTCCTGCAAGAATATTGCCGCAGTCCTACTGGTCACATGGTGGAGGTTGTGCTTGCGTGGGTGCGTGCGGGCGGGCGCGCGCACACGCGCACGCACACGCACACATCTGCCTCGCGTGTCTTTTTTTTGCAAGCCGCGCAAAATCCGCTGCTCTGGCAGATTTTGCGCATTTAGTACGACATTTGTATAGGCGTGAATCCCTCTTTTGTATTTACTTAATAAAGTTCTGTCTCACAAATTAATATTGAACAAATTATTCCAGTTCAGCAGTCAGCCCCCAAGCCGCCACACATTGACGTTGGATCTGTGGGAAACACTGATATCTATATGTATATTCTGTCTAATAAGCAAAGTATTCATATCACTATTTCTTTAAATAGTCCTTTACAGAAAGAAAGGTGAAACAGTGAGCAGTATATAGATATCATATTGTAATCAGCGTCCTGTATTGATATTGGTTTGAATAACCGTACATTCTCAAGATTAAGCTCCTGCGCAGTATGCGTAGTTGTGTATGTGTGTGTGTGTGTGTGTGTTTGCATGTACCCTCTCCCTCTTCCTGCATGCTGCGTGGTTGGGACACTGTGAAACACTGCATGATCTCATATTGCTGCCGAGCCTCCGGATTTTCAGAATCCAACTCGTCCGGCGGCCTCTTCAACATGCGGCAGTTAAAGGTGTGGCTGTTCCTTCGGCCCGCCTCCTGTGGCCACTGCGCGCTGTTTACTGCAAAGAAAGGACAATGGACGCAACGGTTTAGAGTCGATGGCGATTTACGGTCTTAATCGACACTACAAAAAAATAGGTCCCCTTTGGGAGGGGGGGTTGTTAAAGTTACCCAGTGGGTTATGTTTTTATGAGCTGGTTTGACTCACTGCTCGCCGTATTGGGCCAACAGATGCAGAAGACGGAGAGAAAAGGCAGAGAAGAAGAAAACCACTTCCAAGTAAATCTAAATTCAGGCATTACACTTTAAATGCCTTTTGAGGATGCACACACAATAAACTACTTTATGCTCCCAAATGGATTTTGTGAAACGGGCACCTGTTGCATCGTAAGGCCCACTGAGCCCAACACAGCTCAGTCTACTCTCATTTTCAGATGATTCTCTTTTCTATTTTTCTGAGACTGCTGGGAGGTGCAAGTTTTGCGAAATGAGTAATTACTCCTGGATCAAACTGGATGCGAAAGATTTGATTACAAACAATTTTCCCAATTCAAATTCTTCTTTTGGGGTTTATTATAACGCCATATAATCACATCGAAATGTAATGGAGGACCCTCCTGTAAGAGTAATCTGTGTGTCTCATTGAGGTGGCTTAACTGCTGTTTGTATCTAGTTTCTCTATTAAAAGTGGGTTTTAAAGATCTCCCTTTTCAAGAAGGCGAGCGGTAGTGTCTAGCACAACATTAAAAGAGATTATAAGATCAGAACTGAAACTACAACTGCTCAACCTCGCAGCCTACTGCACTCCTTTATCTGTTGTTCTTATGCGACCCCACAGAGGCCTCCTCCTCCATTTTTATCGGAACAGCTCCTCAAGGTTGCGGCTAAAAATTAAAACAACATTATCACAGGGAAGAAAGATGGTGTTTCACTCCTCCCTCGCTCCTCAAACTCACCCACACATTCCTTCTCCTCTTGATACTGTCTTCCTCGCTCTCCTTTTTCAGCTTTGTGAAGAGTACTTAAATCGTAATTTATTCAAACTGTCCACAGTTTATCACACTGCCTTAGTTCATGCCTCTTCAAATGTGCTTTAGCTACCGTATCTTCCATCAATAAAACAAGTAAATCATCCGTGTTAAGTACTAGGTTGGAATTTGGCTACAAATGCTGATCTCCTTTATGGGTTTAATCGGCATTGAAACTGTCAAAGACAATGAAAATCCAATTAGCATATTTACATACAGAATGTTGGCATCGTAAACCTATAAAATAAAGTGTTAAACAGCAGATGGGTGCACAATGTAAAAAAACAACAACACAGAAATGCCAGCTCACTCACCCAAGCTTTTGGGCAGCAGATTGCGAACAAATTCATTGTGGTCTCCCACGTGGAGCATGCTGTAGACGCTGGGAGGTCATCAGCTCCCCCTGGGCGTATCCGAGGTAGCTCATCACGTTCTCCGACACAAAGACGATGCGACCCTCCCGGTTGACGACAAAAAGAACCCATCGAGGGCCTGAAATTAGGAGAGGAGGAGTTAAAAACAACAACAACAACAAAAGTGTAAAAGCAGACCGTGTGTTGAGTTGGGAGTAAAAATCCCAGCGGCTGGTGGTGAGGAAACATGTGATTCACCTCAAGCAGCATGGGCCCCAGAGCCGCTTTCTCCACCAGCCCCTGGCTACTGGAGGAGATATCGCTTTTCTGAACCTCATCATCTGGAGACACAAGAGCTGCATTCTCTATCAGGGGGCAAAGCAATGCAAATCAGAGCTTCGCGCGGACAAAAACAAACAGTGAATAGCAAATTGATCGAATCTCAAGCCCGCAAACGTCTTTAGGGCAGACTATTTGGTTAAGCCTTCCACAAACCAATCCATTGTGTGTATGTGTGTGTCCTCACCCTGCTCACGCCGTTTCATCTGCTGGATTTGGTCCACGGTACTCTTGAGTATGTGGCACTTGTCGGGCTTGGAACTGAGACTGGCAATGTCGCCCATGTTGGACGACAGCAGCTCCGCCAGCTCCTCGATGTAGCGGCACTCCAGCTCCCGTCTCCGCTTCTCCAGACTGCACAGAAAGGGTACTACGTTGGGGATGACTGGAACGGACAAACCGCGACCCCGGGTCACGGCCGTCCCCGGCAAGGAGGCGCAAGAGTCATGTGATTGGTATACTTTCAATGCATGATTCCATAAAAAATTGGGACCACAATAATGTGCTCAGTGGAACCCTGAAACGTCCGTTGTTTACTAGTAACAACCAATGACAATGTAACAGAGACACTGTTCTTCAGTTATCTCTGAGCAGTTGTTGCTATTTATTGGCCATCCACTATATCATGAACGTATAATCCATGCTGATATAGCTGCATTAAGCCAATAACGGGATATCGGTTTGTCAGTTCAATTTGGGCAAAGCAAGAGATATGAACCCGAAATCCTGCTCTGTTACACTCAGGGAATGTACAATAGCGTTTAAGGTCTCTCCAAGGAGCAAAAAGAGGAGACATTTGAACAACAGGTGGTTTGAATGATCAGTTTAAGTAATGTCACATGTGCTGTGGTTTTTCAACCCGCTTCATGTGATTGGTTGCTGTGATATGCAAACAAGAAAGTTGCCATAAGTCATCGGCAGAAATATGGCGACTCAAATCTGCTTTAATGCGAGCGCCTTAAGTCCACGGCTTACCCTTATTCTCCAGACTCAATAACATACTTCAAAACCGCAGAGTTACTGCAAGGTATGTGGTAAACATGAATAAAGGAATGTGTGTGTGTATGTTGGACTGTGTGCGTGTGTGTGTGTGAGAGAGACGACAACAGAAAAAGTAGGTCAGTGCATCGGCCTGCCAGAACACACAGGCGTGGTGACCAAGAGAGGGGGAGTGAAGAGGGGAAATGCGCAGGACAGTGGCTGCGTGGAGGTGCTGTAGAAACGCTAGCTGGGCTGTTACCTCCGCTTACATCAGCTATGTGGCCTTATGGACTCTCAGTGGTTGAGGAAGCCTTCAGATCTTAATCTGAAGTAAAAGTACTAACACCACACAGAAATACTACCACATTGAAAATGTTACTTAAGCAAAAAAAACTATGAAAGCAGAAAAAGTGTCCCCTGTGACACATCTCATAACTTCACATAATGTATTATTATTTCATTTTATGACGTCTGGGTAACTGATGCCTTATGATCCTGGAAACGCACATGTTTCTTTTAATTTTCAAACAGGGTGTGTACCTTAATTTAACAGTGTCCAAAAATAACTTCATGGGGAGGGAGGGTGGTGGTAGAAGAAAAAAGAAATCTATTGGCCAAGCATCTTTATTACCTGCCAAAATAATAGAGTGCCTTTTTGCATCACAAACACATTTGTTTCATGACATTTCATTGTGATAATATATGATTATGTTTAACAAAACTGGAACAAGCCAATTAGCGCCGGCGCAGCAGCAGCGATCAGCAGGCTGGTGGAAAGCAATCCAGGGGAGCAGCTGACGTCCTGTTTGCTAAAAGGTGCTTTGTAGTTTTTGCTTAGTCTAAGAATGTGTGTTGTCTGTGTATGAAAGTTCATTTGTGGAGACTTAGTAGTTTTGTAATGACAAATCCTGAATTTACTAAATTAAATTCACGTTAAGAGTGGTATTTGTGCCCTGCTAGTGTTTACAGGAGAGTGGCAGTCAGAGGAGGAGGCATGTCTCCGGCTCTTTACCTTTGGCCCGATGTGTCACATGGTGAGCCCTTCCTCTTGCGGGATTCTGGTGTGCCAGGGTCCGGGGGGGTTTCCCCTACTGCGCTCATTTTCAGTTTCAACTGACCTGTGAGGGAAGAACAGAATTGCGAACGGCGAAGTGAGGAAAGGTCATTAATCAAACTGGTACTTCCCCCAAAAAACAGAACATGACAAAAAAAGTGTTGTCTCCTAAAACCTCAACTAGTGCTGCAAACAAACTCAGGTCACACTATTCTTTGAATATGTCCGGTTGACACTCACTTTCATAGGAGCGGTTACTGCCACATGGCATAATAATACAACTGCATTTATTATATGACATATTGTCCGTGGTGAGGTTCACAAACTTCACAGCTTATATGAACTTTGGTTTGAGGTCAGTGTTCAGGATAAAAAAACAGAGAGAGGCAAAGATAACAATGTTTTTCTCTTTTAGGGTTGTTAACAGTTGCACATTGACCAACGTCAAAATACCGAAGAGAAAGACACAAGTACAGTTGACACTTCATCAAGTTCCCAAAAAAGGAAAGAAACTGAAATGTCAGAATTGACGCACTAAAAGGCTTTTCAAAAAATGACAGCTGTGATTCATGAGAAGTATTTCAAATGCAAACAGTGACTGGCTGTAGTAATGGACTGGATGAACTTCTATTGTTTATTGGGGCTGTACCAAATAGTTTAAATCTTCTTGCATAACATGTTATTGCCTTCTGTATTCCGTGTGCTTGACCCAGTTATTTGAGCAAAGTTGTAGACTTCACTAATATTACACTATTGGTAGAAGTTTGTTTCTGACTGCAATCCAAACATTTCCAATAACGCCAGAGCGTTGTTGTAATTCTAAATTAAATAGTGTGCTTTAATTCATCGTTGTTGGTGCCGAGGCTTTCCAAAAATGTTGTTCCGCACACAGCTGTATTAACAATCCATTACTGCTGGTACTGATTCAAACTGTGGGGTCGTCGTGGCGCAGGGGTTAGAGAAGGTGTGCTGGGAAGCACAAGGTTGTTGGTTCGATTCCAGGCTGCCCCATGTTCCATGTCGAAGTGTCCCTGAGCAAGACACCTAACCCCTAATTGCTCCCCAGGCAAAAATGTGAAAAAAGCCATGGGTTTAAAGTGTAATGTAAGTCGCTTTGGATAAAAGCGTCTGCTAAATGACCTGTAATGTAATGTAATGTAATGTAACTGTAGTTGCAGTGATATAGTTGTAAAATTGCTCTAAATTAACAAAAATTAATGGTAATATTGTGTCCTATGTGTCTTATATTCTTTTTTAGTCTCCCTTAATGGACTTGTTCTTATCTTTATCTGCCAACTCTATTGCCTGCAGCGGCATCAAGGGCGTAACCATGGCAACATTTGACAAAGCCCATCGGGTGAAGAGGGGGAGTTAACAGGGTTCTTGCATGATCCATTAGGTCAAATATGCATGTTACAACCCTTTTAATGGCATCAAAAATCTAATTTAAAACAACTCTAGTAATCAATGTACACAAAATCTGCAAAAAACAGTAAGGGATATGAATTTCTGTCACGCTTAGCAAACTGGAGACACGCAGGGTTTAATATTTTATAACTAGCCTGTTGACAAAAATGTGTCTTAAAAGGAGTTTCATTTAGATGAAGGAGTCTGAAATCCTTAAGTTTAGCCTTGAGCACGCACACATCAATATGGACTCAGAAATAACATTCTTGACGCATCTAAAGAATCATGGCCATAAACAGACACACCGACTACAGACACAAACACTGTTTTAAATACAGGGGTAAACCTAAAAAAAGAAAAAACAAGCAGCCATTGTGGCGGAGTCGGCTGCTTGCAGGGCCACGCTGCTCACATGACGCTAATCGCTCCTGGCGACACTCTCATTTCACCTCAAATCACCCCTCTCCTCCTCGACCCTCCTCATGCCGCGAACACATAAAAAGATCCATCCGCCACGGGGAGAAAGAAAGAGGCCCGCTCAACATATATGGAAATACAAATTAGCTTAGGTTATGCATTGACTTATAACACAGCTAAAACTGAACAGTCAAGAGAAATGAGTGCTTAACGAACACAGCAGGAAACACCATGCATTATACATTTCAAGAAACCAGACCAGTGGTTGCTGCATGTGTGGATCCAGGCTGCGTGCATCTACTGGAGCGTTCTAGTTGATCGCAGCAGGAAATAAAGTCATATTCAGCGTCATTGCCATTAAACCGATCGTTTGCTTTGCCAGAGTAAGTAGCGAGAAAAACACCTTCGATCCACTATTCAGCAATACCTTGGTCTTAAATAGCACTTGTTACAGTTTGTTGGTAAAGCAGTTTTTTCCTCCAAATCAATTTTCCTTTTGATCCGTTACTTTGCTACAAGGTGTCCCGGGGCTTCGTCTCTCCAGGGCTGCAGACCCCGATGGGCGTTAAATTAGCCCTGATGGACACAGCTGGGCTGGCAGTGAGGGGTTGTCATGTGGTTATTGACAAAGCTGTCAGTGACTTTCTTGCCTAATGTGTCAAATGCTGTGAGGTTATAAAATGTTTGAAAACCATAAAAAATAAATGATTACTGTTATATTTCATGACGCACAGGGCCGTATCAACTGCTACGCTCTGACCCCATTTCTTTTCATTTAGCGTGCCAAGAAACCAGCTATTTTCATAGAAACAGCGAGGGAAACCTGGCTGAGAGTGTGCGTGCGCTCGACGAGTCCACCGGCCGTGGTGGGAGGCTTTCCGCCCCACATCCCAGCCACCCGCTCGACAGAGGCAATCAAGAGCTTAAGTGGTGGGGTGAACTGGTCTTTAACTGCCGTCTCCTGCGTGGACACAGTGGGAGTGCGATTGCGCCATTTGACCAGTGCTCGTAATGTCAGCGGGTTCCCTCCAAACACAACACAGTAAAAAAAAAAGAAAAAAGATTTATCAATAATTTTGTCTTTCATGGTCATATTGATTGTACTGCCCGTGATTTAGCAGTCTGGCCGCCCTCATTCACACAGTGGTCCTCTGCTTGGATTGGGCAGCTGTCTGATCTCGGTATGTGTTTTAATCGATATATAAGGCTCTGCGTGGTCCGGCGCTGATACCTGGTCGAGCTTCTAAATCCTTACTCACCGTTCTGCAGCGCGAGGTTCCCTAATGGGGCCCTGTTCGCTTTAATATTCAGATTCCTGCTGTTGGAAGTGTTGACGTTTCAGGCCCAGCTTCATGGTTATGTGAAAGGAATCACACTTAAATAAAAAACGGACACCATTATTTTGATGGACGCAACCAGCCAACACTGCATTAATAACCTTAAAAATAATCAACACGGCTGTTTGCTCCTCCTGCTGCATCATATCTTAGTTAGCTATGGTGACGGTAAGTAAAGCTACCAAAAAGAAACTCTTTACTCCTTTTTTACACTTGTGCGTTGTTCTTGACACAAAAGGCTTTTTCTCCTTTAGCCAGAGACTCAATAGCCAATAACGGAAGTTAGAATGCAGTCTTGGTTATAAATTATTAGACTGCATGCACATTGATTCGTTGAGAAATCAGGACAGCAGAGATTGGTTTATTTTATATTTTGACAGAGGAAAGATTTAAACCTCCAACATCACGGGTGCATTTGGTCACAGCTGCGCTATTTCTCTCTGAACAAACTATTATCTGAACCAACACATGTGGAGTCGCACTGTTGAGCCAGACTTCACACAGCAACCAATAATACAAAATCAATTAAACCATATTGAATAACCACCCAATCTTTTTTGATTTAAAAGCTCCTCCCTCGTACCACTCACACCACCGACGGCGTTTCAAACGGAGACGTTCACTTTAAATGGTACATTGGCCTCACCGTGTCATATTATGTTGTGTATTAATTAAGATGAAGCAAACACAAATCAATCTTCGAAACTTTGATTGCAAATGAATTGGTTATGTCAGCAGCGGAAAGTACCCCAATTTGGGGTGCAACTCTTCCAGTTATCAATTAATGCAATTATCTCATCAATTAGTTAATCCTTAAAAAAGTCAGAAAATACCCCCAAAAATAAAAATACCAGTCCCAAAACATGAGTTGACGTCTTCATATTGCTATAATAAAACACCGAGAGGTACAATTTCCTACATTGTAGAGAAGCAGTTTTTATGTTTAAATGGTTGGCACATAAAATGTTTGGACCTTTCTGCTGGAACAAAAGGCCACAACGAGCCATAATTGTTAAAGGGGAATCCAACGTGTCACCTTCAAAAGTCTAGTTGAATCTACGGATTATTTACAAAGCTAAAACTCTTTCAAAAAATGATGAATTAGTAACAAATAGCGTTTCCTGATTATTTTCAATACGAACAAATCTTTTCTGCTCTAAACAAAGACTCGTTACACTTTTAATGGAGTTTTCAGTGATTCCATCACAAATCTCCATGACGATGATGATGATGAGGATGATGCACAGCTGAGACCCTGAACAGTGACTGCTAATGAAAACCAAACATTTCACCAATTCCTTTAACTGCCCTTCGTTTGACGACAAAATACATCCCACAGCTGCCTTCAAATTAAAAAGACGAGCGTAGGCACGGCAACGGGTAACCTCTCCCTAGGACAAAAGTAAATCTTCATACTGTTAAGAAAGACACAACTGGCTATACGAGACCCTGCTTATCCAGTGAAAACCCTCGTCATGGTCCAGCCCATTGTTTCCCACCGTCTGTTTACACCAAGATCCAGGATGTTTAGTAAGTAAGAAATTACCTTGGACTGCATTCAACTCCAATCACACTACCAAACTTCTAATAGGGTGAGAATCACACTGCCCAGTGTGTAGAATATAAAGCCAGTTACCCAAAGTCACTTTTAGCATCTGTTAAGCAAAAAAAATAGTATTTAGTATAGCATACAAGAAGAATGTATAACTTAAATGTAGAAGTATTTACATTACTCCATAAAAAGGGGAAGGGCTCCGTGGCTCTACCCTATACCCTCTGAATTCTATGAATAGCAAGAATTAGGATTCATTTTTTTAAATAACACGACTGTATGAGGTAATTTGTTTGGACGGGGATAGCTGCCTTGGTCACATGTTTCGCGGCTAGTTTTAGATCTCAAACTTGTTCACTTCCAGGAAGATTATTCACACATGAATGGCCTTATTGAACTCTTCCGTGTGATTTAAATGGGAGCGTGGTGGTGCGTGTCCTCATTTCAACTGCTGTAATGCTTCCGAGGGAGAGTCAAACATATCAGGATGTTCAGAGCTGCGCAGCCGGTTTGGGGCCTTAGTGTAATAAAGCATGAAGGCCAGTGAGAGAGTTATTATCTCTCTCTTACTTATCAATTTGAACCCGGACTAACTGGCCCTCTTCAAATTTAAATTGATGCCATTAAGTCTTTTATGACGGCTTCAAATGCAGCCAATTGTGCACTCTGTTTTGAGTACTGGATAAAAATAATAAACTGTTTAACTCAGGGTATTTTATTCATACTTTGTTTTAGGACTATTGATAATGTCCAAAAACTGTATAACTAATACAACGTAAATTTGCTCTGCAAATCACACTGAGGGAAAAAATTGGACAGCTGAACCTCAAAATGTCAATAAAACAATTTCCTTCAAAAGCTGCACTCCACATAAATCATTACAGAAACGATTGAAAAGACTGGGGGTTAAAAACATACTTCATACATGGAATAAGAGGTGTATTGACTTTAACACTTTACACAGGGAAGATATTAAAATCATAGTGATGGATGTAAAACAGTAGTCTATAATAATAATCTTTGATAATAGACTCATTACATTTGTGTTTGAAGCCTCTCAAATAGGAGTGCTGCTCTTCTCCATGTCATTTATATCTAAATTGACTATTTTGGAGTTCTGGATTAAATATCCAGAACAAAGTGACACGTGTGAATATGTTGCCTACTATTTTTAAGCACGAGTGCAGAACAAGCCTAGAACACGTCCAGGCACTCCGGCATCCAGTCCGCGGCTTATTTGCAGCTCAATACATCAACAATGAACCAGCTACTTTGTTTTGCTTTACTTCCTAAGCCTGGCTGGGACTCTCTGGGAAGTCAATACCGTGATAATGGCATTCTGGGAATATTTAGTGGGAAAGTCGAGGACCAGAAGCACACGCCCGACCACGCAGAGGTCGCGCACTGCGGCCATATTTACTTACTTGATCTAGGGGTCCAGTGGGCGAGTCATGTGGTTGGATGTGGTTGGCCTTGTCCAGGGCTCAGAGAAGAGATAAAGGGGGTTTGGGGGGAGTGGAGATCTCAGCTCGGGGTGGAGGCGCGGAGCGGCGGCAGTGGTGGACTTATGTCTCCACGGCCGCTCTGTCACGTGGCAACATCTCAGGTGCAGGGAGAAGCCTGTAGGCCTCCGACTAGAAGAAGAGAGAACAACTCAAGTAAGCGATTGTTTTTTTAAATAAATCTGAAACTGACTGCATAATACAAGGTCATTTGTTGCAAAAGTGGGTAATCGCAACAATCCCAGCGGCGCAGTGAGCTAGGTGGAGGTGTGATGTTTTCTGCCTTTTGTGCCAAAACAGGAACACGGCAGAACTTTATTTATTTATCATGAAGTGTTTCAAAAAGTCAAAATCAAAGTTCCCAGTGAAAGTTATTGTTTCACCCTGTTCCCAATCACCTTTTTTGTCAATGTGAACAAAAAGACGTAGTGTTAAGGAGGAGGTTCTGAATCCTAACGTTCTTATTATGCCAGCTCACCTGGAGCACATCACTGTTATTTATGCGTTCGTACACCCTGAAACAAGCGATAGGGCCAAAACAATTAAATCCTTTTGCCAGTTTAAAAAATTATATCTTCTGATGCAAAATACAGCAAGGAGAGCAATAATGAAGATCCGCAGCAAAAGATAGTTCTAAAATACATTCTGCTTTAGTCGGTCATCAAACTGGGGCACAGATGTCCCGCTTTAGTAAGTGGGTGAGAAACGGCCGCGGCCCCCCCTGCCCTTATGTGTCCCCAAGGGAATCCTCCCGTGTTCCCGGCAAACACGGGGCTGGGGCCCCCCCCCCCCGGGGGGGGGGGGGGGGGGGGGAGACGGGAAGGGGGGGGGGAACGGAACACAGCCGAATCCACACACTGATCCGTAGCTTCACCTCTCATAATCACAACGGCTCGCCAAAAAAAAAAGGACGAACTGTAACTAGTAAGAAATAGGACAGGGAGTGTTGTGTCTGTAAACGAAGGTTTTAATATCTGATATTATTGTTTACTTGTCAATACTTCACAGCTTTTTGAGTGGCATTTAAAAAATTACAAAATGTTTTTTTTCTTTCCTTAAGCCTTTGATACAGGGTGAGTAATTGATATACTATTTTAATACACAATAGGAGGTAGAACTCACACAAATACTCATGTGGCAGGCAACGTTGAAATGTCATTGGACTGACAAAAGGCCACTCACTCCAGATGTGGAATGTCAACTGACAACATGTGTATTCAAGATTTGCAAGTATAGTGAACGGCTGCACTCCCCCCTTCAACACTGCTCGAGCAACCTGTGTAAATGGTATTTTAACACATATCAACATATCCAAAAGGATTATTAATCATCAGATCCGCCGCTAAATGGCTCAAGAGGCACCTCGGGTTGGACCTTTGGAACAGGCTCAACCTACCGATGCTTCTCAAGAACTACAAGAGTTGAGAAATAGCACATCTGCATCAAGGAGAACTGCATTTCACCAATGGTGGCGACTTAATTAAACTGGGGTCAACTCAAACAACCACAGGCGTCTGTGATGCCCTTTGATGAACAATTATACAATGTATAGAAATTGTATGTAATTTGAAAACTTGGTATCTCTTGAATGATCTTACACAAGTGTTGCGTCACATTCAAATTGGTGGCAAATTACATATTGATCGACGTCAAGCTCTTTGGAATGTTGCTCCACTTCAGGCGACATTCTTTGAGTCGTGTCGGCTATTTGCTGGTTGCGGCCCACACAGCTTGCCTTCTTAGATGGAACCTGCCTGGTCGTTTGATATTTGTTTTAGATGACAGAGACTTTCAGCCAAAAAGAGTGGCTGACGCATCAATTTCCCTTTTTGGTCTCAGCTGGTGGGTTCACCTCCTGTGGGAGTAGGAGAAGTAAGTATTCTAACACGATTTCTAGCTTCACTTCTGGACGTTCTGAAATCTAAACTTTTGGAGTATTAAAAAGTGTGGTTTCATTTCCCCAGGTTGGAGTCTGGGTTTATTCACCGTCTTATAAGAGGCTAAACAGTCCCACATTTTAAAAGAAATAATGTTCATTAGTATTATCCAGTCACGGATTGTCCATACAAACACCATGTTCGAACATAAGGATGTTCATAAGTGTACGTGGTACCAGAGCACCCTAGGCCAAAGATCAATGATCGATTTTGTAATCGTATCGTCTGATCTGAGGCCACATGTTCTGGACACTCGGGTAAAGAGAGAGGCAGAGCTGTCAACTGATCACCATCTGGTTGTGAGCTGGGTCAGAGGATGGGGGAAGACTCGGGACAGACCCGGTAAACCCGAGCGTGTAGTGAGGGTGAACTGGGAACGTATGGAGGAGGCCCCGGTCCAAAAGATTTTCAACTCACACCTCCGGCGGAGCTTCTCTCACATTCCTGTGGAGGTAGGGGACATTGAACCAGAGTGGTCTATGATCAAAACCTCCATTGCTGAAGCCGCGGCGGTGAGTTGTGGCCTCAAGGTCTTAGGTGCATCAAGGGGCGGTAACCCTCGAACCCCGTGGTGGACACCGGTGGTCAGGGAAGCCGTCCGACTGAAGAAGGAGGCCTTCCGGGTTATGATATCCGGTGGGACTCCAGAGGCAGTTGCAGTGTACCGACAGGCTCGAAGGGCAGCAGCCTCTGCCGTGATGGAGGCAAAGCAGCGAGTATGGGAGGAGTTCGGGGTAACTATGGAGAAGGACTTTCGGTCGGCACCAAAGTGCTTTTGGAAGACCATCCGGCACCTCAGGAGGGGGAAACGGGGAACCATCCAAGCTGTGTACAGTAAGGATGGGACCCTGTTCACCGCGTCTGAGGAGGTTATCGGGCGGTGGAAGGAACACTTTGAGGAACTCCTGAACCCAACTACTACGCCCTCTTTGGTAGAGGCGGAGCTGGAGGCGGAGGAGGGATCATCGTCAATTGGCCTGGTGGAGGTCACTGAGGTAGTCAAACAACTCCGCAGTGGCAAAGCCCCGGGGATTGATGAGGTCCGTCCAGAGATGCTAAAAGCAATGGGTGTTGGGGGGTTGTCTTGGATGACACGCCTCTTCAACATTGCGTGGAAGTCTGGGACAGTGCCAAAAGAGTGGCAGATCGGGGTGGTGGTACCCCTCTTCAAAAAGGGGGACCAGAGAGTGTGTGCCAATTACAGGGGTATCACACTACTCAGCCTCCCGGGTAAAGTCTACTCTAAGGTGCTGGAAAGGAGGGTTATGCCGATAGTCAAACCAAGGATTGAAGAGGAACAATGCGGTTTTCGTCCTGGTCGTGGAACAACGGACCAGCTCTTCACTCTTTCCAGGATCATAGAGGGGGCTTGGGAGTATGCTCATCCAGTCTACATGTGTTTTGTGGACTTGGAGAAGGCGTATGACCGGGTCCCCCGAGAGATACTGTGGGAGGTGCTGCGGGAGTACGGGGTGAGGGGGTCCATGCTTGGGGCCATCCAATCCTTGTACGCCCAAAGCGAGAGCTGTGTTCGGGTGCTCGGCAGTAAGTCGAAGGCGTTTCCGGTGGGGGTTGGCCTTCGCCAGGGCTGCGCCTTGTCACCAATCTTGTTTGTGGTTTTCATGGACAGGATATCGAAGCGTAGTCGGGGGGAGGAGGGTCTACAGTTCGGGGGGCTGCGGATCTCATCGCTGCTTTTTGCAGATGATGTGGTCCTGATGGCATCTTCCGTCTGTGACCTCCAACTCTCACTGGAGCGTTTCGCAGTCGAGTGTGAAGCGGTCGGCATGAGGATTAGCACCTCTAAATCTGAGGCCATGGTTCTCAGCAGGAAACCGATGGATTGCCTACTCCAGGTAGGGAATGTGTCCTTACCCCAAGTGAAGGAGTTCAAGTACCTCGGGGTCTTGTTCACGAGTGAGGGGAAGATGGAGTGTGAGTTTGGCCGGAGAATCGGAGCAGCGGGGGCGGTATTGCACTCGCTTTACCGCACCGTTGTGACGAAAAGAGAGCTGAGCCGGAAGGCAAAGCTCTCGATCTACCGGTCAATCTTCGTTCCTACTCTCACCTATGGTCATGAAGGATGGGTCATGACCGAAAGAACTAGGTCACGGATACAAGCGGCCGAAATGGGTTTCCTCAGGAGAGTGGCTGGCGTCTCCCTTAGGGATAGGGTGAGAAGCTCAGCCATTCGCGAGGAGCTCGGAGTAGAGCCGCTGCTCCTTTGCGTCGAAAGGAGCCAGTTGAGGTGGTTTGGGCATCTGGTGAGGATGCCCCCTGGGCGCCTCCCTAGGAAGGTGTTTCAGGCACGGCCAGCTGGGAAGAGGCCCCGGGGAAGACCCAGGACTAGGTGGAGAGATTATATCTCTGCACTGGCCTGGGAACGCCTTGGGATCCCCCAGTCAGAGCTGGTAGATGTGGCCCAGGAAAGGGAAGTTTGGGGTCCCCTGCTGGAGCTGTTGCCACCGCGACCCGACCCCGGATAAGCGGTTGAAAATGGATGGATGGATGTTCATTAATTCAGACATCTTCAACACCTCCCTGGAGACATGCCACGTACCAGCCTGCTTCAAGGCCTCCACCATCATCCCTGTTCCCAAGAAGCCCAGGATCACAGGACTCAATGACTACAGGCCTGTCGCCCTGACCTCTGTAGTCATGAAGTATTTTGAACGGCTAGTCCTGACCCACCTGAAGTCCCTCACTGACCCCCTCCTGGACCCCCTGCAGTTCGCCTACAGAGCCAACAGGTCTGTGGACGATGCTGTCAACATGGCCCTCCACTACATCCTCCAGCATCTGGACTCCCCAAGATCCTGCGCCAGGATCCTGTTTGTGGACTACAGCTCTGCCTTCAACACCATCATCCCGTCTCTGCTGCAGGACAAACTCTCCCGGCTGCACGTGCCCGACTCCAGCTGCAAGTGGATCACAGACTTCCTGTCTAACAGGAAACAGCATGTGAAGCTGGGGAAACATGCCTCAGCCTCTCGGACCATCAGCACCGGTTCCCCCCAAGGCTGCGTTCTTTCCCCTCTACTCTTCTCCCTGTACACCAACAGCTGCACCTCCAGTCACTAGTACGTCGGGCTCCTGAAGTTTGCGGATGACACCACCCTCATTGGACTGATCTCTGGTGGGGATGAGTCCGCCTACAGGTGGGAGTCCTGGGACATCTGGTGTCGTGGTGCAGCC